TGTGTGTGTGTGTGTGTGTGTGTGTGTGTGTGTGTGTGTGTGTGTGTGTGTGTGTAACAGCACCACTTGCCATCGCATAAAAGGCTTAATTGATACCGTTGCGGCTGGCGGGCATTCAGCAGCAACATTTGCCTAGAGAACGGCGCAGCTACTCGAAGAGATCATCAGGCGAGCCCAGCTCGCGCTCGCGGTTTGATGTTGGCATAAAAATGAGCCTTAAAATTTATATAAACAAAAGTTCACTTGTTTCAGCATCAAATTGGTTTATGCTCCAATAAAATTGTAGGCGTTTCGCAAATAGGAACAGTTATTTGTGTGGGCTGATAAGCCCAGAAATGTTTTATGCCCATCCAAATGGTATTCCGTTTTACAAGTACTTGACAAATGGGAAAGTGGAAAATGAAGACAGAGTTTATTTGAGGACTTGTTTAATGGGGTTAGCTCGGAGTTATAGAAGCAATTTCTTTTAGATCTTTGCTAGCACCATAATAAATTAATATTAAATTACATTATATAATACTATATGAATATTAAATTTAATTTAATTTTTAGCATATGAGTTTAAAGAAAATTTTAGAGTTAATCTCAGTTCTGTTGAGGCCAGCCAGAGTTTAATGAATAGTCTTTCAGAGGCAGCTGAGCAAGAAGCAATTATTTCCTATATCTATTTTCCTATATCATATTAAATTTAAAGTATTCAGGCATATATTATATCATATCATATCAGCATACCCTAGAGTTACCTAAATTACAAATGCCTTCCCTTAGTTAGCATATGCCTCGCCCAGTCTACGCTTAGTCCCGCCTACGTTGTTGTCTATAACCAGCCTATCAATCACTTAATTAGTAACTTATATTTACCTCACCTCTACAAGTCCGCCCCTCACAAAATATCATTCGAGTCCAAGTGAAGTTTCCGAAATATATGTGATTACGGAAATCAAGTCAAGTTATATATATATTATTTCGTTATCTAATATTGCCTTAGCTAATGTTTCTGTATCCGCCTTTGATACGATAATGCTTCCTTTGATTAACCATCGGGGTTAATTTGAAGTACATTATCTTTCACTCAGTGGCTGGTGCTACGCTCATTACGCATGTCATCATCATTAGCCGAGCGAAAGTGACTTGGAGTCGAAACACTTTTTGGTGGCTGACGTCAACTGCCAATTAGCTGAAATCGCGACGCTTTAGTTAACTGAATTAACCCTCAATCCTCGGTCCAGGGCCCATTCGAGTGGATCAGACAGACAGCCTGAGAAAGGGGGAGAGAGGGAGGGAGCAAGACACGAGCATCTGCGAAAAACTTTTGCTCAATTTTTGCCGTCACTTGGCACCAGACGTAAATCAACTACTTTATGACTAGGATTTTAGCATGCCTGCTGCCTTGCCCCTCGCCATGTCCTTCCCCTCTCTGCTTTGTGGAACCTAACCAAGTCGTAGTCGGTTCCAATTAGAATGTGCCTGGGCTATAGCAGGTCTCATAAATTCTTGCCGTCTGCGGCGTCGGTGTCAAATAATTTAACCTAATTTGACACTTCAAATATGCGGCTTAGGGGCGGCTACGTTAAGTGTTTGCCGCACATTTTTGTGCGTATTTTTGTTGGGCTCGTTATGTCCGTTTAATGTAAGCAAAGACCCAACTGTGCACACCTAAAGGCCCAAGCGCAAACCCCGCCCCTGCCACAGCTCCTGCCACAGTCCCTGCCTCCAGCTTGTCCCTACATGACTTGCGGCGAGGACAATGCGAGCCGGGCCCCTACGAGCTCTGGCTAATTCCGTGTTTGTTTTCATCTCGGCTACATTGTGGGGCATTTCGTAATGGTTCTTATGGGATGTTTCACTTGACTTGTGTATTTATTTTATTAATTTGCTGACACACGGCACACTTCCTGCTGCTTTCCCCCACCCGCACACAGATTAACCTACCAGCGCGTTGCACTGAAGGAGATCCGGCTGCAGGAGGAGGAGGGCGCACCATTCACGGCCATACGGGAGGCGTCGCTGCTAAAAGAACTGAAACACAGCAACATTGTGACCCTGCACGACATCGTGCACACCCGCGAGACGTTGACCTTTGTCTTTGAATATGTGGTGAGTAGACAGATTGATAAATATATATCTATCTATATATAAAGAACTAATCGAACGCTTGAAATTCATTCCTCGCAGAATACCGATCTATCGCAATATATGGAAAAGCATCCGGGTGGCCTGGACCATCGCAACGTGCGCCTGTTCCTTTTCCAGCTCCTGCGCGGCCTCTCCTACTGCCACAAGCGTCGTGTCCTGCATCGCGATGTCAAGCCGCAGAATCTGCTAATCAGCGACTGCGGCGAACTGAAGCTAGCCGACTTTGGCCTGGCCCGTGCCAAGAGCGTGCCCAGCCATACGTATTCCCATGAAGTGGTCACGTTATGGTACCGTCCACCAGGTGAGTGCCGCTGACGACCTGGCCCCAGCCACTTGATATAATTGCATATTTGCTGGCATTGCAAATGGGTTGCCATAGCGCTCAGTGAACTAGTTGTTTAATTCGAGCTGATTGCAATTTAATGCTGGAATTTAATGCTCAAGCATGGGTAAACTGAATAGATGAACTAGTTCATTTGCAGCACTTGATTAATGAATAGAAACGTATAATAAGTTTTAGCCAGGACTCTGAAAGTTGAATTGTATAGGAATATTCGGTTCATGAGAAGAACTAGTTCATTTGAGATTCATTGAGGGATTCTTAGTTATGAATAAAATACAAAAACAAAAATGTATGAAAATCGAGTTGAAGTTAAAAGCTCACAAAAAGAACTAGTTCATTTGCTTGGAGTGTACATATTTATTTTGTATTTTGAATGACGCGAATGGACTGCAAAATAAAATAAAAATTAAGTATATAAAATATAAGAATAACTAATTGAAGCCAAGAGTTCACAAAAAGAACTAGTTCATTTGCCATGTACGCAGATTTTTGTTCAGTTTTGTTGAGTAATTTTTGCGAATGGACTGCAAATAATTAGTGGAAAACAAGAGCTCAGAATAAAAACTAGTTCAGTTGCTATGATTGCAGCATTTTATAAAATATATATATTTTTTAATGGGTTACAGTTTATCAGCAGCTCAAGTAATTCTTAGTAAACCAATTCAAGAGCTTAAATATTGAGCTTCGTCTCACTGCTTATCTCTCATGAACTAGTTCATTCAAATGCACATGTTTATGTTTATCTTCGACTTTATGAAGCAACAAATGATCTTTCAGTAGTTATTGAGCTTCTAGAGTTTGCTTGAACTCATGCAAAGCTTACTTCGTCTATCTCTGGCTAGCTCAAATACTATAAACTAAAAGCTTTTCGGAAACCCAATCATCTTGTTAATTTCCCGTTTCACTCGGATAATTCCCAAGCTTATGCCTAACCGCACTAACAAGCGCTGCTGATAGCTATGCAGCACTCAAAGTTCAGGCTTCGATAACATTGAGCTGAATTAATTTGCCCAGCTGCATGCTGAAAGCAGATTAATATTGGTTTGTCGAACATTTCCATTAAACATTTTCAATTTGGTGTTGCCCCATAGAGCTGAAAGCAGATTAATTTTAATATCCCACTAAATAGACAGCGTCCAATGGGTAAACAATTCATTTAGCTTTGCTTTTCGCTCATTCTCTTTCTGTTTCTCCGTGCTCAACAAATTTCTCATCAATTTGCAGCGCAAAAGATAGAGCCAGAGAATGTGTGTGAGAGAGAGAGAGAGTGAGTTATGTAAAGAGAATAAAGTTAATTTTTTAATATGCAATTCCCTCGGCATAAGCACTTTGTGTGAAGTCGAGCGGCAGCAGCTCGGTGCTGCTCCCTGGACTCCCGACTGACCTCAACGGGGCAAGTCAAAGCATGTTAAACAAATTTAATCTGCACTTCTTAGCAGCAGACGAGCAGACGAGCAGAACTCTTGACCAGGTTAGAGGAGAGAAAGAGAGAGAGAGAGAGAGAGAGAGTAGGGAAGAGTGGAGCAGCATCTGCAGCCAAGTGTATGGATATGTGTAAACGTGCGGATGTGGTTTGGTCAACATTGGAGCTGCTGGAGCTTACTCCAGTCCAGTGTGCTTCACCTGTCCCTATTTTGCATGCGCGCATGTGTGTGTGTGTGTGTTTGTGAAAAAAACTTTGTTTAGGGCCAGCCGAGATAAGCGCCAAGACGACCTCTGCATCTGCATCTGCATGGCTGTCAGTCAGTGTGTCAGGCTGTCAACCGACTGCCGCTCGGGCAACAGCTCTGTTTATTTATTTAAAATTGCAATTTATTTCCATAGAAAAAAGTACATTTACCTAACGAACCAAACACCCTCCCACCCTCTTTCTCAACCATTTAGATGTTCTGCTGGGCAGCACGGAGTACTCGACGTCGCTGGACATGTGGGGCGTTGGCTGCATATTTGTGGAGATGGTGACTGGTATGCCTACGTTTCCGGGCATACGTGATACATACGATCAGCTGGACAAGATATTCAAATTGCTTGGCACGCCCACCGAGGAAACGTGGCAGGGCGTCACACATTTTCCCGGCTACAAACCGCACAAGCTGGGTAAGCATCCTGAGAGAGAGAGAGAGAGAGAGAGAGAGAGAGAGAGAGAGACAGAGAGAGAGAGAGAGAGGGAGATACTAATTGAACTTTGTTACCTTGGCTAGGTTTCTATCGACCACGAAAACTGGGTCACAATTTTCCACGGCTGTACGATATCATCGAGGGCGAGACGATAGCGAACGCGTTCCTCCAGCTCAATCCCGAGCAGCGCATCGGCGCCGACGAGGCACTGCAGCATCCCTACTTTGCGCAATTGCCAAAGAAACTCTACGAATTGCCAGACGGTAAGACATTCAATTACATTCCATATTAAATATTTACAAGGGAACACAAAAAATAAGAAAAGCAAATCCAATTAAAGTGCAACACGACAATTTGTTTGCTCTCCTGCCCCGCCCACTTTGCACCGAAATTGAGCTACAACTCATTTGAAGTTAGTGCCACAAAGTTGGCCTTGTTGCTGTTTGTTTAACCAATGTTCGCCTGGCCAAGCACAGCCACAGCGACTACAACAATCTGCCGCTGTCTACAGTTAACAGTAATTACACTTTTTGTGTTTTAATTTGTGTGCTCCTTCGGCTACGGCGACGGCGACGGCGAAAAAGTTTCCTTTTGCAACAAGTCCAAGTCCTAGTTGGCAGCAGCCGCCATTTGTGTTGGCCAAGTGCAAATGCTGTTCGCTAGCAACTAGTTAATTTGCCACAAGACACTTTGAATATGCCCAAAAAAAATCAACAGACAAGGCAAGCGAAAATAAAGAGGCGTAATGTATGGAGGAGCAGCAGGAGTAGCAGGAGAAGCAGCGGCAGGAGACTGCTGAGAAAAACTTCAGCATTCTTTTCATGCTCTGTTTATCTATATGCAATAAACTATTCATATATAAACTTTTTTACAGTCTTGATAACAACAGAAAGCTGACAATAATAGAGTCTATAGGACAGCAGAGATTGCTGCTTAATATTAATGAGCTTTGAGCTGAGCTTTGTGAGTTAAAATTTTTGTCAAGCGATGGGAAATTCGATTTTCATTTGACTCTTTTTGCTGCTTCACTTGAAGTCATTTCATATGGTCGAAGCAGTCTCAATATAGTTATCCAGCTGAGCAAATAATCCAAGCAGCTTTACTATGAAATTAATTACACTGCCTAATAAAATTCGGTTACTAAGAATTGGATTCCAATTTTATATAATCTGGTTCATTACATTCAACAAAGGAAGAGTTCCTTCAAAGAGAGAGATATGTGAAAGTTATTAAAATGAGAAACACTTTGTTATGCCCTGAATGGAAAAGTGGGTGTGGCGTAGCAGAACAGTAGGAGTGGTTCTGGTATTTCCCAGTTAGCTAGACGCACTCTCATATATAAATATGTTCAAATCTCTGTTGCTCTTTAAAGGCTTTTCATACAGTGGCTGCCAATTATATATAATTTCGTATATATATGAATTTACTTCATATATATTTCATATATATTTATATACTACTTAAATATATATATGTATTTTTTGTGTACACTCTATTTTTTAATAGATTCTACTTTTTACCATTTGGCCATTAGTCAAACGAGTGCCCTGCCAAATAATCCTAGCCAAATCCACATGCAGCTAGACTCGTTTAAGCCAAATATATTTTAGCTGAACTCATTTCTTTTTATGCTCTGCGCTCGCCTTAATTTAGCTCCCGCTTCGATTTGCAATTGTAAATGGCAAAACATTTAGCCCGAGGCATCGAAAAAGCATTTGGTGTGGACCAAATGGAATACGAAACGCAGCGAGCATTGCAATTTGCCAAGTGCATTTGGTTAGAGTCGGACAACAGAGCAGAGCAGCGCAGACTGAATGCATTTAGAGGAGATAGAGCAGGCTCTACCTCCCTCTCTCTCCCTCTCTCCCTCTGTCTCTCTCTCGCAGCATCCCTCATGTCCACTTAATGGCTGTGTAGCTTAATGTGCGCTTAAATTGTGATTAACGCTGATTTGTAAACACATCCGTCCAGCTCTCCGACTATTTGCGTACTCTATGGTAAATATGCTAATTTTCGGTCAAAATTGTAAACAGCTCGGATTTATCGCACAGGTGCAGCAGACAGTCATTAGGGCAAAGCATGGCAGCTTTATAACTTTTGGGGTTTGTGATGAACAAATAGCTCCGTCTCCCTCTCTCTCTCTCTCTCTCTCTCCCAGCGTGTTGCGGTGGCAGCTTTAACAGTTTGTTCAGATAAAATCAATTAAAACGCAACTAATGTGCCGCATTTATCATGTTGTCCCGGACAGCCGCCGCCGCCGCCGTTGCCACCGGATAAGGTCAATGCACAGCCAAAAAGAACCGCAGCACTTGGAGCGTGTGAGCATTGCGGTTATGCAGTGGCCGTGGCACATGTTGACCCATGCCACGCTCGTTAGCAAAATGAAATTTGCATTGCATTTTAATTGTCTGGCCTGAGGTCAACTCTGAGAGAGAGAGAGAGAGAGAGAGAGTGAGCGAGAGCGAGTACATTAAATAATGTCTCGTCATAATTTATATTTTAATTAACAGAAAATATTCCTCAAATTTATGAAATTTAATCGTATTGAAATTTATTGCCTTTCAGAAACCTCAATTTTCACCGTGGAAGGCGTGCAGCTGCATGCGGAACCGAATCGACAGAATAAATGAAAATTAAAGCAGGTCCTCTCAGTGGATGGCGTACGTTTCTATTGTTAGACCCAACTATTAGCCCAACAACAAACCACAAACAACCACAACAACCCAGCTAAACAACCCAGCAAACAACTCAAGCAACAAACAAACAACAAACAAACAAACAGCAATTGGCAGCCATCAAAGTCGCGCATCTTAAACCATAATTTGTCCAATAATCAGTGCGAGTGAGACAGTGAGTGTGTATGTGTGTGTGTGTGTGCGTGTGTGTGTGTGAGCGAGACAGCAGCATTTCAGTCAAATATATATATCTATATATATATCGTGCCTGGCTGGGCATATATTAGTTACATTTAGTTAGGCTACATTCACGTCATCTTTTATAAGGATACTCAGAGTTTAGTCAAATTTTTGCTTTGCCCCTGACTTTTTCTTATTTTATGGATAAACAAAATTTATAATTTAAGCAATATTCATTTCATGTTTTTGTTAAGCTAAAAAAAGAAAAAAATAATTGATTCTATAAAATTTGTAAACTTTTCTGTGCCGTCTAAGAAAATCCTTGATTTGTTTTTCTAATCGCTCTGCTTTTGTCTAACTTCTGTGTTCACTCACGTTTGTATTTGTAAGTAGTTCAAGCATTCAAACTATCTGACTAAGCATTACTTTTCCTTATGGGTATTCAGATCCACGAACCTCGGGCCACCTAAGACACGTTTATATGTAAACCTCAAGCCTAACTGTAGTTCTCCAACAATTCAATTAGATTTACATGAAATGGAAGATGCCACAAAATAGCTCCAATGAATCCTATCAATATATACAACTATATATATTATATATTTTACACATCTTCCAAATCATCCTGCGAACAACTATATAGAGTATATATGTATATTCTGTCTGTGAGAGTATTCAAGGTTCGGCCAGCCGATAATTAGCTCTTGTTTGTTTCACTTTATATACTATATATATAATTACTATTAAAATTATGATTATTATTATTTTTAACGCTATTTTCACATGATAAAAGAAGAAGAAGAAGAAAACTTTGCCGCGCTGTTTAAGTGATACATTTTTAATTATTATTAATTAAAATACAAATATTAAATGAATTTATGTATAAAGCAAAAAAACATTTAAAAACAACAACAACAACAAATAAACTTTAAAAATTTATACCGCATTATTTGATATTTTTTATTTGACTTTTCAGTTTTTGCTTTTCAGTTTTCTTTTTGCTGCTGTCCCTAACAAAAAAATAAATGTTGCATATGAAATCAAGCGCAATCCTAGTCAATAACAAAATAGTAAAACGAAATAGTCGCTAAAGCTGTTGAAGTAGTTCACTGAAAGGCTCAGACAGCATCAGGCGAGAGATTTAGATGTGTAAACAATTTTGAAAGCAAATCGAAACGAATCGAATCGAGTCGAATCGAATCGAATAGTTAAACTCAAATTAAAAGTTAGATTTGAAATGTAGTAAGAGTAAAAGTTTTTAGCAAGCAACAGCAACACGTAAATTCTAAATACAAATAGTCAACAAACTAAAACTAAATAACAACTAACTTACAAAAATAAACCTAACCAAGTATTTTACATAGCAACGTAGTTAAACGAACTCCAATCAATCCAATTCCAAAACAAATAAAAAAACATTAAATAAATACTATTACGAAACGTTACGCAAAACAAACACAAAAGATGAGAGGACGAGAGAGAGAGAGAGGGAGAGAGAGAGAGGTGGAGGATAGAAAAGTTTCTATTTAGAGAAGAACTAAACTTAATGTGCAAATTAAAGAAATCAAAGATATTTCAAATGGTTTTGAAACGTAAATGAATCAAAAAGAGAAATATATAAGTAAATAAATAAATAAATATTGGCGTGTGTAGAAATGAAAGTAACTAAAATAAACGTAGAGCAAAATATGTTAACAAATTATTTACTTAAATCAATGAAAGAACAAGAAACCAAAATAAACACGTGGTGGCGCCATCTATGGCCCAGCGGCCAAAACACACACTTTTATGAAACCAACAACAACAACAACAACAAAACTTATATCAAGAACATAAACTAATCGAGTTTAGAGTAAAATTTGAATGGAATTATAAGATATTCGAACAAAAGCAAAAGCAAAACTATTTTAAATGTACGCTGCGCGTTTATCAACACAGGCAAAAAAAAAACGCGCGCGTTTTAGCAGCGTTTTAAAACGCAGACAAAATTCTATTTTGTAGTAGAAATAAAAGTGAACTTGAATATTCAAATAAAGTATGAGAAACAATTTAATGAAAAAAACTTTTTCTGTGATTTATGAAAAAAGTACGCAAAACCTAAAACAAAAGTATGAAAAAAAAATAAAAATAAAAATAAATAAATAAATAAAAAGTAAACAAATTCACACCACACGAAATTTAAGCACACTAGAGCGAACCAAATTTAGATGCTGAGCCAAAAGGCAAACGAATTGTTTAAAATTATTTGCTGGCAAAGGCTAAAAACGCACGAAAATTAAATTGCAAAAAAAAAAAGAAAAAAAAAATGAAAGAAAAACAGAGAAAATTCTCAGCACTTAAACATTTTGTATTGTTTGTAATTCAAATGCTGCGCGCCTCAAATTGTGTAAACATTTAGCCAAAACTAAATAGAAGAAGGAACAACAAAGAGTTGAAAGAGAGAAGATAAATTGGAAAACATTTGCAACATTTAACAATGGCAATGCACTTTTCGCACTTTTCCCATCCCGAGGTTACGTCCATAGTTTATAAGCCAACGAGCCAAATGAACAAGTTCGAACGAATCGCCAATTTGATTTCACAATTTTTGATTTGAGATGATGATCAGAAACGATTTTAATTTCTGTTTTATTCACTGCACAAATAAAAACAAAAAGAAGAAAGTAATTTGGAAACGCAGCATTAGGCAAATAAGTCTAAATCTATATATAGATATATATTAACTAAAGTAACGTAATCGCAAATGGTAAACACTAAGAATGTTTTTAGCTGAACGTGTGTCTCTAGTCGTATTCTGTAGTAGCTAAGCGGTATGGGTTCCCTTCACAGAGCCCGCAGGAACGTAAGGTAAAACATAGATGAACAAAATGATCAAATGATGAAATGAAGAAGCTCTCTCGATATTCGCCGACTCGACTCGAGCAGAAGTCGAGGCATAACTAAATTATTTTTAATGCATTGAATTTGTCGTAAATATTTAACGTACCTTTGTTAAAAACAAAACAAAAATCTATTAAATAAATAACAAAAAGAATCTATTAAATACAAGACGAAAGCAAACAAAAGTCAATAGAAATTATAAATAAAAAAAATTATATATATATATGAGTCTATGAATATATATATATACATATATATATATAAATTCTCTTCGAGGATTCTGTGTAGCCATCGCGTGTGTAGTTTTTATGTTTACACTGTAAGCAGTTTTTTGTATAGTTGAAAGGGCAAAGCAACCAAAAATGAGATGAAACCTTTATTATATATACACATACATATATAGAAATATATATATGTGTTTTATTTATTGTTTCTCTTCGTGTAAATACAATCTGTAGTTCGATTTCTAAGTAGCGAAAAAGTGAATGAAAATGAAATGAAACCAAAATTGAATGTTTATGATTTAATACGAATGCATATTGAATGGCAACTAAATACAATTTGAATAAGTTCAACCTGTACAATAATTTAATATTAAATAAAATGCAAAAATATAAAACTAAAAAAAAACGAAAAAAAACCAATAAAAAAAAACAAAATTCAAATAGAAGTCGACAAAATCGTTTCAATTACCCTTGGACTTGCACTCAAATTGTAGCTATCTATAGATGCAGCAAATGGTAATGAATATATATAGATATATATCTGTATATAGGCATGCATGCGAGGGCTGCTCAAGGAGTAGCATTAGCTATTGCTGCTCTGCCAAGTTGGGCAAAAATCAAAGATGAGCCGAAGGAAGTCAAATGAAGCTGCTGTCAGAGAACTGAACATTCACCAATCCATTCGGAAATCGATAGACGAATTTACTAAGTCTTCAAGTATATTCGCTTACTTCTTAAGCACATCTCGCATTTGTCTCTATTTGAGTAGCTGGCGCATGACACACTTTGGAATTCGAGGCTGTCGCTAAAGTGACGAATGTTTCGCTCGCTGCAAATTCGCATAAATAACAATTGAGACAAATAATATTCTTTAACATGGTTTTATGGCAATAAGCGCAAGAGTTGACACCACTGGCTAATTAACTCGGGCAATATATCAATTGATCTGCCTCGATTCGAATGTCAGATTGAGCTACATTTTCGCAAACGTCGCTCGCAATTTGTAGTTTTGGGTAATGACATAACTCCTTGGCGAGGCATGCAAATTTTTTTATTATTATTATTATTATTGTACAATCTTTTTTCTTTTAATGAATTTATTGCTGTTGCCTTTGGGCTGGCGTCATCGACGGATCTGTTCATGCGGCAGGGCTGCAGTCGATGTCGCTGCCTGCCAATGATCCGTCAGTCTATCAGAGTCGCTGGATCTCCGCACGACTCTGGCCAGCTGCAAAAGGCAAAAGGTTTCCACGATGACCGGTGAAAACCTTCAAATGGCAAAACAATTGCCACGTAATTTAGCTAAAGTCAGCAGCAACAGCAGCAGCAGCAGCAGCAACTGAAGCATCGCATCTATGGAAAACGAATGACACAAGTGTTATCACAAAGCGTTATCATCTAGCTAGCCGTGGGCTATATACTAAATACTTCTATATATATATTTATTTATATATATATATTTATTTATATTTAGAAATACATTTCTAATGACGCATTAAATTGATTTATTTGCATACAAATTGGCAAAACAAAGAATTTTTCGTACTCTTCTACAAAACATGTTTGTTTCATTAAATTTAGCACAGCTCCAATAAAAGATTGTATACAAAATGATTGTATATAATAAACCTAATGCAGAGAAACAATTTAATGATGCTGCCTGAATAGATAACTCATTCAATATTTTCCAAACTCCACAGCTAATTCCATTTCCAGATCTATACAATATTTATGATATTTTCAGTTAAAATTGCTTAAGGAACATAAGCAAAGTTTTAAATATTTTTATGTTTATTTTAAATGTCAGTCGATAGTTGCTTTTTTTACGAGCTCAGACAATTTTAGTTTCTTTTATTTTATTTTATTTAATTTTTTATTTTTGCAAATAGTAAAAATTACTAACAATAACTCTTTTAAAGCCAATCCCATAGCTCATTTTACGATTTCATAATTACACGTTGATCTGTCTGCATCTGCGTGTGTTAAAGTTCAATAAACGCCATAAAAATCTCATTTGAATAAAAATTCCATATAAAGCCTTAGTCATAGTTAATTGATTTGTGGAATTAGTAGATGCCATTTAATACAAGTCACTCGTATAACTTTTCCAATAATTGTTACTGTCAGCAGTTGTAATACGAAATACGAAATGCATATATATTATATTCATATAGACTCTAGTAGGCCCATACGATTATATTGTATGTGTTAGAGCAAAGATCATACGTTGATTCATATTCAAGACACATTTCGAGAAGAGCGAGTGAGTTGAGTTGAGCGTGGTAAGGCCCAGGGGAAGCTCACACTCTCAACAGCTATACAAATAGGTAGACCTACATACATATAAATATTCATGGGTTTGTAGATCAGCTGTGATAGTGACGCAAATCTTGAGGCAGGTTTCGCATACGTGAGTGAATGAGTCGCGCTTTGGTTTGTCATTTATATATATATAAATATAATAAGATATGCAATCTGCATCGTATAGGTACTTGAAAGCCTAAAGAGAGAGAGAGGGAGAGTGATACAAAGAGAGAGAGAGACATCAAAGTATATATGTAGATGTTGCTGTAATTCCATTGCAAATATTTACAATGAGCTGAGTAATGCGAAATTCTGCATAACGTCATCTTGCTTAATTATATTTACATAATATAAATATATACATAATTATATATAGTTACTTAATTATTTATTTTATAAATATATACATAATAATATCTAATCAAATTGCTCAATTTGAAAATACAATACTTGATTGATTCGCTTATCACTTTGTATCGTGAGTGATTGACAAACTGTCTGAAAACGCGGGGACTTTTCGAGTCTAGCCAAGGCAAAGCTCAACATAAACAAAGCTAGAGCGTGAGAGAGAGCGAGAAAGAGAGAGAGAGATGTGAAGATTCTGTTTTGTTTACCGCCAAACTAGTCTAGCACTCAAAACAAAAGACAATCGGCACAAGAGCTCAAAAGTCTGTTCTTCATTTGCTAGACATATGCTTGCTCTCTCTCTCTCTCTCTCTCTCTCAGTCTTGCTCTCTCTCTCTTAGTCGGCCTCTCGCTGTGCAACAAGTCTTGTTCGCTGGGTTTTGTTTCCCGCTTGCTCAGTCGATCCGTGAAACGCACGCCGATCAGTCGCCTCGCACTGCTCGACGAGAAGAACGTGATTTGTGTGTGTGTGTGTGTGATCTGAGAACTGCGAGCGTCGAGCGTTCGAGCATTGCCCAATTCATTATTTTGTAGCGCTTATCGCCATGGGCACGCCTACATTACGCCTGTTCCTGGTGCTTGTCTGCTGCGCATGCAGCTGGACCGAGGCGCTCCAAGAGCCCACAGTGCCAACCCAAGCTCCGCCGGCTCCCACGCTCTGGAGAGGACGCAACTATCGAGTGCGTTAAGTATACGTAGCAAAAAAAATAGATAAATAAAAAATCGTTTCAGCTCAATGCTAATTTTGTTTGCCTAATCAAATATCGCACGCGAGCTCAAATTGCTAACGGAATGCGTTTGCCTATTGGAGCTCAGCCTTGCCCTAACTGCCTCTAATTGCATTTGCTCATTGCAGCCGCATCATGCCACGCCTACAGTGGCGCCCACTGCTGCCCAGCACAGCGAGATAAAGCAGCTGATGACGAACCTGCACGATCGTGTCGGCATCTTGGCGACCTTGGATGAGGACCAGCGCCATCGCCTGGAAGTGATCGATAAGAAGTAAGTGGATGCTGCGAGAGGGTGAGAGGAGGGAGGGGAAGGGGGGTGAGGAGAGACGACAACAATGGAACTTTTGCCATGTCGCCTCAGCATAGGTAGCCGAACAGGTTTTTGGCAAGCCACACACACACACACACACACACGCATGCTCAGCAAAGGTATCTCGGAAAACCGGTAAAAAATGAAAACAACAAGAGAACGAAAGATATATTTGTTGTTTTCGGTTTGTTTTTATTTTTTACGACTTTTTCGGCTGCTGTCAAACGCATCAATTACAATGCCATCGATTACGCGGAGATGCGCCGTAAGGCCAAGACAAATAAGAGCTAGTGATCGACTGGGCAATACCCTAAGACATATGTCGAGCAGCTGTTCAGACCTTCTATGGGATGATGACTTCAAGGCAGCTTCAACTGCTCGTAGTCTAGGAAAGGCATTATGAATTCAAGCCGAGAGCTTAAGATCGCTCGCTAATTGTCATTCATATCATGATCATAGCTTATGAGTTTCAGCTATCGCATTCATCACTCTGCTCTAAGAGCACTTGTTTCTACTCCAGCTCATCGTCTCAGTAATTATTATTATTTTCTCGAAATGAAATCTGTCATACGTACACACGAATGAAATGATAGATGAATACGTAAGTCAAACTCTACTCTCTATCTCTCTATCTCTATCTCACTATATATGTAATTTTATCAATACTCTGGTATTTATACTATATCTCATACCCATTCTATCCCAAGTTCTAATTCCTAACTATCCTATTAACAGACGCTAATCTCAAGACCGCTTTGACATTTGTTTTATAGTATCAACTCAAACTACTTTTTCTACTACTTTTTCTACTACTATTTCTACTACTTTTTCTACTACTATTTCTACTACTATTTTTTTCCGTCATAGTTTTTTATTTTTTGAATGAATGCCTTCACCCCAAGTGCTACGATTAGTCAAAAGAAAAAATTCAAAACGTTTTAGACCCATTCTTAAGCTCAAAACTTTCCGCAGCCAGAAATCAGGTGTGAAACAAGTTCTATTGTCCCCTGTTTACCTGTGTTACTAGAAAATAAACTCGGTTCAGTCATTTTACTATGCAAGCATTCGAAGATTACCCAAATTTAAATGCAAATGCATATGATATATAGATACAGACAGGCAAACCTGCACACAAGACGCGCATAGACTCAGCTGAGTTGAATAGCGATCAGGTATATATTGGGTTTTGACTCTGAACTATGCCCTCTTACATTACCCCGCCCACACCACAGAAAACACCATAAATACCCATTTTCAAATTTATTCAGATGGTTCCTGTGTGCTCTGTATCGGACTGTTTAGCTAATATCTGCTCCTAAATTTCTTCAGTATCGTTTTTTTTCCCAAACATTTGCCTTTGGGTTCTGGTCTTCTGTTAATAAATAAAGCGAAATTCGCATTTTGTTTACTCGACCGACAGAACGGCAAATGTTGTACGAAAACGAGTTGGCAGCATATTTTGGGATTTGTGTATAAATTATATGCATACTTAATTAGCCAAAGAGCATTCGGCCGAAACACAATTGGCAATACGTCACAGTGAGGCGTTAACCGAGCTCCAAATGAACTTTGCATGCTCAGACAGATCATTTTTGGAAATAACAAATGATATGTAGAGACGCCCACGCCATAGTCTTAAAGAGGCTAATTTATATAGTATATATGTGAAGTACCCTAGTGTATATATGTGTATATATAGATGAAGTGCTGCGGCGATGATATCATGCGCATGGATCGAAATTTCTACAGCGTGTTTATATTTCATGTGAATTACTAAGAAATTTCAATAAGTTTAGGGCTATATAGTATATAAGTACTGGATTTTATTGTGTTGGGTATACATAGATTTTTGCATGATGGGGGTCAGAGACGATATTTGAGATGATCGGCATAAAAATTCTTCACTGGTTTCTTGTTCGACAATCGAAGTCTGATAATGAATGACTGAAGACCAAATGAATAAGGATTTTTAACAGATAATATTTAATTTGATTTATTTACATATATAATATATATTGTGGAACAGAAATGGTATTTTTATATATTATATATTTTATGTATAATGTAGAACTGTAATAGTAAAATATTTTTTTATTTTGGCTAAATAGTTTTCGAGCCTTGTTAAATCAAAAAAATAATCTAATTTAAACTCTATAATTATTTAAATATTAATATATATTATTTCATTATATTATTCAACAAACTCAAATTAAATGAAATTTAAATACAGATATAAACTTTTAGATCATTATTATTTATTAAATATGTTTATGATCCACCTCTTACTCTCCCTCTCTTACTATCTTCCTCTCTTTTTCTCTCCCCCACAGAATCGATCAGCTGCTGGACAGCAATACGGGTCGCATGGAGTCGCTGAAGGCGCAGCAGCTCAATTTCCAGCAGCGCCTGGACAGCTTCGAGCACATCCAGCGCCTGACGCGGCACACGCTGGACGAGCTGAAAGGTGAAACCGATCAAATTCTGGGACCTCGCCAGGCCCGAGAGCTAAGCCACAAGCAAAAGAATCGCAACAAGATGCGGGGTAAACCGAGCCGAACTAATTGTTGTTGCTTCTGATTGTTGTTGTAGTTGTTGTTGTTGCTTAGCTGTGTGCTTGAACAGGGGCTTGCTTAGAGCTGTCTTTAAAACCTCTACTCCTCTGCTCCACAGAACTCTCGCGCCAGACACGGGACATACCTGAGCAGCACATGGACCTCTTCTACCGGACGGAGAGCCCGCCGACGACGCAGGGCAGGTCGAGCAATGGAACGGAACTGGATGTGGCCAGTCGACTGGATGCGCTGGCCACCTTCCTCGTCTCGCTGGCCTACAACGTCAAGGAGACGCAGCAGGGCGTGGCCAAGCTGCTGCAGAGCACCAAGTAAGCAGATGCAAAGCCAATTGGACTCGATTGAATTGAATTCCTCTGATCCGCAGCAACATTCGCCGACGCTTGGCCAACCGTAAGCCGCAGTCCGCTCTGCCGGCACAGGGCGTGGCGCCCGTGGAGGAGCATGCCACCAGCTGCCTGCAGTCCTACCTGGCCGTGAACGGGATCCTCAAGCTGCAGCTGACGCCGCAGAGCGACGCGTTCTATGTGCCCTGCCAGGACGACGGCTGGACGGTGGTGATGAATCGCAGCTCGGACGACGTCAGCTTCGAGCGCAGCTGGCTGGACTACAAGGAGGGCTTCGGCAACATCGCCGGCGACTTCTTCATCGGCCTGGACAAGCTGCACGCCCTGACCAGCTCCACGCTGCACGAGCTGCGCATCTGGATGCAGGACTTTGAGAACAACGTGGCCGTCGCCGGCTACGATTCGTTTGCCATCAGCGGCGAGCGGGAGCTCTATGCGCTGAGCCTGCTGGGCCGCTACCAGGAGCACCTGCATCCGCCCGCTGGGGACTCGCTCTCCTACCACGCCGGGGCCAAGTTCAGCACCTTCGACAGCGACAACGACAACTGCCTCGAGTGCAGCTGCGCCCAGCGGCACAAGGCCGGCGGCTGGTTCAATGCGTGCGGCACGAGCAACCTGATGGGCGTCCACTACAGCAAGGACTACCAGCGCGCCGGCGAGACGGGCATCTACTGGGACACGTTCCAGGGCAAGGACTACTCGCTGCGCCGCATCAAGATGCTCATACGCCCCATAGTCCAGGACGAGGCCAGGCGCTAGCCCCGCCCCCGGCCTTCCGCCTGCCGCTAGCCACAGCTGCCATACGTCAGGGAATCTAACTGTAACTCCAACTCGTACTCCACTCCGCTGCCCCTCGCCCCCATTGTGCGCGTGTTTTATTTATGGAAAATCACCTAATGTACCCTAGTTAATAAAGTTGCCGTGTGTACTCAGACAGATGCCCAGCTGTGCCCGGGTTGTGCGTCAGCTAATCGAGCAGCGATTAGCCGAACGCAGCGCTCGCCGCATGCGATCCATTTAGCTATTTAGCGGGAGGGTCTGCTCCGACCGGGCTCAGTTCCGTTTTCAGCCTCAACATGGCCAGCATGCTCTACTGCTGGCTGCCCTTCCTCTGCCAGATGCCGGGCCTGCAGCCGCTCAGCCTGGACACTCTGGCCAGCCAGAGCAGCATCTACTACCAGCGAGCGCAGGGCGAGCTGACCCTCGACCAGGTGGAGCAGCTCTCCGCTGCGGAGCCCCTCAAGCTGATCGTGCACGGGTTTCTGGGCTCACGCACGCACAGCTCCATCCAACCGCTGCGAAATGGTAAGAGGAATGCTCAGACTGAACTCTGTGGAGCTAGTCCGATGAAGCTCTGTAAGCTCACTGTTAAGCAAACTCTGTTAGATTCTGCTTAGGTTTCTTTAAGTCTCCCTCTATCTCGCCCTCTCCCTCTCTCTACCCTGTAGCCTATCGTGCGCAGGGCTTTGAGCACATTCTCATTGCCGATTGGTCGCCCGCCGCCAATCTGGACTATCCCAGCTCGCGTCGCTCCGTGTCCAAGGTAGCTCTCGTGCTGGCCCAGCAGCTGGAGCAGTTTCTGGCGCGGCACAATGTCTCCAGCGAGGCGGTGCACATCATTGGGCACAGCTTGGGCGCTCACATAGCCGGCGGCATGGGTCGCCACTTCAATGGCACGCTGGGCCGTGTGACGGGCCTCGATCCCGCTCTGCCGCTCTTCACGGCCCGCTCCGAGGACAGCCTGAGGCCGAGTGCGGCGCAGTTCGTGGATGTGATACACACAGACTATCCGCTCTTTGGGGATCTGACGCCGCGTGGCCATGCGGACTTCTATGTCAACTACGGACGCGCCCCGCAGCCCGGCTGCGAGGAGGTGGATCTGCTGGCGGCGAGTAAGCTACTGCGGGAGGCCTGTGCGTGCTGCCATAGCTAGAGGCACTGATAACTGTATCTAATCTGTGTGCATTGCAGACAGCTGCAGTCACAATCGCGCTGTGTTCTTTTATGCCGAGTCCGTTGGAATGCCCAGGAATTTCCCTGCCATTCCCTGCAGCTGGAAGGTGATCAAAAGCAGTCGCAGCTGCTTGGATCACTTATCGGAGTTTCATCTGAGCAATGCGTCACTGGCCGAGGCCATTGCCAACATGGATGATGGGCAGGTGGCTTACATGGGAGAGCAAGTGACGCACAGGTGAATAAACTCCAATTGGAGCTAAAAGCTTTGATTTAAAACGAAATTCTTGCTAGCGCCATCTCCCATTACTATTTGGAAACGAATGCAGCGCCACCTTTTGGCCAAGGCGTGAATGCCAAGTTTAACTAAGGCGTGATGGCAGCTAAAGCGGATTTAAAATGTGAACTGTAGATGGCGCTCACGCAGCAGACAGCTTTTGCCTGACTACGTTTCTTAAGGCTGTAAGTGTTGCGCTAAAAATTTAGCATGAGGAGATTGCATAAAGTTGGCCGAGACTTTTAGTTTATATATGTATATGTAGCTGGTAAATGGGCAAGTTGAAATATTTATATCAAATGAAAAAATTGAAAAAGATATATAATGTTATTTTTTTTTTTTTTTAATATGTAAATTTTTGCAGCGTAAAATTGGCATTGAATAATTCATTCAATTTAAAAAATATCATAAAATATTCTATTAGCTTATAAATTAAATTATTCTTATAAATAGAGTTCAGCTGTAGCATAATTGGATTTTGTTTGGCATAAATGCTTGATTTTATATATTAAAAACCCAAACACTCCAAGCACTTCGTGGGTTTGTCTAAGGAATTTCCAATACAGTTTTTCCGCCGCTATTAAAAGGTAAAGGGTATTAAAAACGTAATTTCACCTGACAAACTGTATGACAACAACCGCAAGTTAAATTTCCATTTAGCTTTTCTAGCTGTGCGCAAATGAAATTTCCAGCATAAATTTCATCTCAAGCGTTTTATGAATGAAGTTCAGCTGGAGTTGCAGTTGCACTTGTTGTGGTTGTTGTTGTTGTTGTTGTTGTTGGGGGACTCGGCCATAGTTATTTATGGGCCAATAAGTTAACAACAAAACGCTCATCTACATTTAATGGCGATAATTTCTGACGCAATTTGAGAGACACACGCAGCGACACGCCGTTTGCGGTCCAGGCCAGGCCAGACCCGATTAGACCCGGCCAAGCCAAGCCAGACTGAGCCAGGCCAAATGCCCGCGAGAAACCAAGAAGCCAACCGCACACACAAAACACTTGACACCTTCGGCTGCGAGCCTGAGCTGAGCTGAGCTGAGCAGGAGTCCCTATGACAGGCAGCAACAACAGCAACAACACAATAAAAAGCGATAAGCAACAACAACAACAACAACAACCATGGTGATCGTAAATTTTACAATAAAAAGATGCCAAACGGAACTCTGGTTCGGCTCTGGCTTGTTCTGGCTGTAAATTTGAGGATTTTCAACAGTTGGCAACAGCTGGCAGGCCCAGGCATTCCCTGGAGGAGTCCATTCCCTCTGAGACTGAGTGAGTGGGTGGCAGCTAGACTCGACTCGACTCGGTTCGACTTGACTCGTCTCGTTGCGTTCTAATTCGCTGCAACTATTGTGAGCTGCTGGTTTGTTTGAACTGGTTCCACAAATCGATTTCAGGCTTCATTAGAGCTCCATAGCGCACAGGAAACTCCCGCACTTTGCGTTCGCATAGCTTTTCTTTTGTTTTCCCACTGTTCATTCATTCTTTGGCAAATGCGTAAAATACGGCCCTACCAATAGCCCCCCTCCTACGACCTCTGTCCTACCCCTTCCCCGCTGTCTGGCCCTGATCGAGCTGATGCGCTGTGCTCGGTCAAGCATCGAACTACTTAGTTGTTGTTGTTGTTGTTATTGTTGTTGTTGCTATGTATGCTCATATTCTCGACTCTTGGTTGTTTTCCCCTCATTTCCCTTCATTCGATTTCATTTCCATGTCGATTTTTTGTCGCTTTTGTTTTTGTTTCTGTTTGTGTTTTTGTTTTTTTGTTTTTTTTGCTTCCACCTTTTGTGAATTTGTGTCATGCGTCGGTTTTTCCTGCTCGCTGGCCGCTTGGCTTTAATTTCTGTTTGCTGAGAAAGAAAAACAGACGCACACACACACACACACACACACACACCAATATGCACTTATACATGTGTACATATATATACACACACACTATTATAGTTATTGACTTTTTAGCATCAACTCTGTATAGCACTTGAATAGGCTTCTTCTGCTTCTTCTGTTTTGCCTAGCTTCCAGCAGTTCCGCTCCAATTCGAGAATATTTAACAAAAAGAAGGTTCAGGCAATTCTGAGCGTACTAAACCTACATTATATTGTATATTTGTTAATATGTGAGTAGCTCTTGAAGTTTTTTATGTATTTATATTTTATTTCCTTTATAAATTACTCGAATGAGCTTCTTCTGCACTTTAAATATGTTTAATAAGAGATTGGTAGATGATATTCTACAAATATATATATTTCTCATTTTAATATACAGTCGTGTCTCTATTATTTGTTGCCCGTTCAATAGAAAATCCCCATAAATTGAAAAAATTCTATCCCATTGAAAACAAAATTCGTTCTCGATAAATAAAATCGACAAAAAAAAGATCCCATGCCATTTCGAACTATCGGATCTCGGCTGTGTTATATATCATTTAGTACCTCTTGAAGTTCCTTACATTTTTCAATTCAATTTTCAATTCTCGCTTTCATTTATTTCGAGCTGCTGTTGCAGGTTGCCTTTTCGCTTTGCATTTAAATTATATAATTCTTCAACTGTTTTGACACATTTCTTAATGGCACTTTGCACACACGCACACACACACACACACACACAGTCTCACGAGTCGGGTCTGGCTAAGCCAAGGAGACAAGAAGAGAAATGATATTGTAATTGGCAATCGCTGTCGTGCATAAATCACATGCATAAATTCAACCTACGGACATTTTGAAGCGACACCAACGCAACGCTTTGCAGAGATCCCGTTCCGCCCTTCCTCCCCCCGCTGCTCCCTCTCTCTCTCTCTCTCTCTCTCTCTCTCTCTATCTCTATCTCTGTCTAATCGTGCTCGTCCTCGTTGCGGTCGTTAGTTGAAGTCAATGTTGATATCCAATTGGAAAATTTTTCATTAACTAATTGAACATTTTATGGCAGCTCGGGTCCGACTTGTGCCCGTAGTTGGCGCCAATATTGATGGCAAACAAGGAGCTGGAGGGGTGTGTGTGGAGGGGGGGTGGGTGGTTGCAACAGCCTAATCTGCGGCAGGACAACATGAGCAGAACGAAAGAATGAAATGGAAAAGGAAGCAGCAAAAAAAAAAAAAAAAAAAAAAAAAACAGGCCATGGCAAGGCAGACACGAAAGGACGTTGGCCCAAATGAAACTAACAGCAAACAAACACACACACACACACACACACACACACACACACATGCGAACACACATTCTTCTTTGAGGTTTGATAATTTACGAGGACACGCTCTGGTCAAACTGCCCTCGCAGTTGGCTGTGTTTCGCTCTACCTATCCACCGCCCCCCTTCCCGCCCACTGGCTGCAAATTTGCATAACTGTCTGAGCGAAGAGCGCGCCATGGCGGATATTAAACATTAGCGCGTGCTGGACAGCACATCAAGTCCTCTGCCTGCTCCTGAGAAATCTCCCCTATTCCCTACCCCAAAAAAAAAGAAATAATTAAGGTGAAAATTGCTGTCGACACGCAAACAGCGAAAGAGCGCAGAGTAGCAGAGCTCGGCATTATTTTTGGTGGTTTCTCGGCTTTGAGAAATGACCGCAGTGAGCAGCTGATAATAAGAGGAGAACAACAATAACAACAATAACAACAACAACAACAGCAATCTGAGCGATCGGCTGCCCGATGACTAATGAAACCTATTAGCCCCGTGACAGATGAGGCGACCGCGTCCCGATGATGGATAAGCTCATTCAACTGAGCCGCTGGCTCTGGCGACAGGCGCAGCCCTCGCTTGGCCAGCTTCTGTCGGTTTGGTGGGATCAATCGGTAGCCAGGTCGCTCGCTGGCGGCACCATCTATGCGCCTTTGGAGCGTATCAGTGGTGACCCTTGGCTGGCTATTTAATTGAAGCTTGCTGGTGGGCCAGCCTTGCGGGCCAACGCTGACATCTCCTTATCGCTAACACAGTTTTTCAACTATTGCGGGAATGTGCTGCAAAAGGCGGGGAGAGAGAGAGCGGGAGAGACAGAGAGAGAGAGAGAGGGGGAGACAGATCACCCGAGACGCCAAAGCAACTCGTTGGTTGTCATCTAAGATTTGAGCAGGACGAGAAAAAATCTGTATAAATCTTCAATAACAAACTCTGATTATTGCTGTTTGAGCGTTATCTAGGTCTTAGAAGCCCATTAGGTCTGTTGGAGAGTCAGGCTGATATGTCACAGCATCTCCATTCGAGCTCAAGGCTCTTAAAGATGTAGTTTATGAAATGAGAAGAGATGGAATTAACTGTGAATAAGCATTTGGCTAAGGTTAAAGTAGAGGAAAAAGTCTCTGGGGTGCTTCTTGAAGAGAAGGAGTAGAGGCCAATGGATGTGTGTGTGAGGATTTTTGTAATAAATGCTACAGGTATAAATGAAGAGGGTAGAAGTGATATATGCGATCGATATAAGAGTTTTGCAGAGGCAAATGTATATACATATATTATTATTATATATATTTATTTATTTATTTTTTATTATTATTTCCTCATCTGTTACAATTCTATTGCCTGTACTCTTCATCATTAGGCAATCAAATCAGACAAATCATTTGCTAGGGCTGTAAATAAGGCTCTATTCGCTGGTAGCACAAGCGTCGTGAGGGGGAAGAGTGTGGTGTGAGACTTTCTCAAGTTTTTTCAGAGTTGGCAAACTGTTGAAATTGAATTGGCAAATCAATAACAGCTTTGTTGCATTTTCCTTTTATTTATTTACTTGTTTTTTTTTTTTATACCCTGAACCCATTGAAAATGGGAAATCAGGGTATAAT